CTTCCCCCCTCCCCCCCCCCCTCCCTCCCCCCCTCCCCCCCTCCCCTCCTTCCTTCCTCTCTCTCTCTCTCTCTCTCTCTCACTCTAGGTTCTAGAAAGCCAATGGAATCCAGCATCCAGATAAAGATGCACTACAACACGAGATTAATCCATTCACTTTTCATCATGAGCTTCTTTTATGTGACCCCTTTCTTCTGCCATAACCAGCTCAATCCCCTGGCTCTTGGGCGAGCTGATCCTCAGTGTTGGGAATCCTCATCAGCCCTCTTACTGGAAATGAGGAAGCCATATGTTTCTGACTCTGTCAGTGGCTTTTGGGATGTATTGGTGTTTCTGAAAACATCGGAGGACTTAAAGCATGGGGCTCTCTTCTGGAACCTGGCACAGCTTTTCTGGGATATCTATGTAGATTGTGTACTTTCCAGAACCCATGGCTTGGGGAAAAGGCAACTGGCTGGAGCCCAGCATCAGATTACAGCTTTCCCATCTTGGATCACAAGGCGTAAGCAATGATATTATTATGTATACATCATGCACAGATAGCCTAGGAAGATTTTAGCAGCAGTTTATCAAACACTGTCAGAACATAGTGCAGCAAAAATAGTTGTGACTGAGGGCTTTTTGTACATTCCCTTTTTTTCAGCATGGGGCCTGCTGCATCCTGCCTTTTTCTTATTGTCACATTTCAGGTTAATTTTAGAGTCTTCCGTGTCCAAGCCCTTTCTCATATTCATGTTGCTTCCGTTTGCTCATATAGAGGGTCATTGCCAGAATAAGAAGAATTATGTTGCAAACTGCTTCCATGTGGCCCTTGAGCCTTATCTTTTTGTATCCCCAGAGCACCCTTGGAGTGGTAGGGGCCAAACCCTTTGGCCCTTTTAGGTGTGTGATAGCTTTGGGAGGTTTAATAGAGCTTTAAGACACCGATTTCACCCTTTTTTTTTTAAAAAAGGAACTTTTCTAATGTTTAGAATGTATAAAACCTCAACACACCTGACAAGAAGGGGTGGGGGGAAACCGGTGGAAAACTTTGGCTCTCCCTAGTCCTGTGAGATGACGATGTCACTGGCCAAAACTTCTCCAGTCTTTGGGAGGCCAAAATACAATACAGTGCACCATAAAGCAATACTGGGCAGTACATTGTAGTGCAATGCAAAGCAATGTCATACAATGAATCTCCTCATTGCAGTAAAGCTGCCCACCTCAGCCTAGATGAAGCGCTACTAAAATGGCATGGAAGGGTCTTCTTCTGTGGCTGGCTGTGAGGCTTGCAGGGTAATTTGGACGTAACAAGAAAGATCAAGGGTTTCCCCACTTAATATAAACAAGTAACATTCTGAAATCAAATGGAGCTTATTTAGGTAGCTGGGATCGACACCACAGCAGCTCCCACTTTCTCCAGGTTACTTGCCTGGATTGCATCTGAGCTTGCAGTCCTAGATTTTTGCAAAGCAAAGGTTCTTTCTCTGAATTTGATGGTAAGAGTGTGTCCCCTAGCTAATACTTTTCCCAGAGGAGTATTCCTCTGAGACTTCTGTCACTGCTACAAAATCCAAGGGCTGGGGGCCATTGCAGGAAAGTGCATATGTTGTAGTCATTCTGCACCCTAAAGATCACATCAAGAGGATCCATGTTCCAGCTCTGCATTTCCAGTGATTCTGACTTTGAAGCAAACTTAATTGGTGTTAAGACTACAGATGCATATGGTTGAGTTGCAGGTTACACTGAAACTAGTATGATCCAAATAATATCAGTCTTCATAGCTTTTGGGGCAAATTAGTTGAGACTTATGGCAGTAATAGTTTAATTTATTTCAGTCAAACAGCAGGCTGTGCAGCGAAATCAATATGTAAAAGTAAGATTAAAAACTGTCCAAGTCAATGATACCATCTATCAATAAACAATAATATTGGTTAGACATGTTGTAATCAGAATACATGCAGTACAGCCATTATAGATAAATACTCTCCTAATGATCTCAGGGTGCTGGTCTGATATGGCAAAAGGTGTGAATATAAGCCTCCTCTGAAAAATTTCACAAAGTACCTTATGGAAAGGAAATAAGCTATAGAATGAATTGCAGCTTATAGCTCTTCAGTCTATCTAAGTTGCATTTCCATTGTGTAAAGGGTTTATTTTGTTATGTGGACAGTTGGGTGGGAATGAGCATACTAAGCAGAGTCAGGTACAAAAAGCAGTTTAAGTATTGTTTTGGATTCCTGTTAAGTGATCAATTACACGATGATAACATTTAATTCCTCTTTTATATTTCTCTGATACCAAACTGAAAGTTGTTGTGCATGGTGTGAGTTTGCATGCAAGGAACAAGAGGTTTTATGCATATGAAATTCCAGCTGCACACACAAACTGATCACATAATCATGGTGATTTAGGCTTGCCATTGTCTTGATTAATCGGCTCTTCTAAATAACTGTCATATCAAATGAAGAATATTTTGAGATTTTAAGATGATATTAAATTGAAAATAATATTTTCCAGGCCTACCAGAAAATATGTTCATAATTGCCTTTCCCCCCAACATATAGGCATATTTTCACAAATGACTGCTGTACAGAAGAAGAAAGAACTTAATCAAGACTCAGAAAGCACCCACGCTCACAAGTTTCAATCTGCGTTGTTCGGAAGAATTACCAGACACTTGAGAATGAAGAAGAGACAAATCTAGAGTTGACATCCAATTTTTTCATGTTTTCTTTTAGGTTTTTCCCCCTTTTAATTGCATTTAAGTAATTTCTTATGTAAAGAATGTTTGTCCACCAGTATTAACTGCTTGTCCACCAGTAAGCATTCACTGTTAATTAGGGGGTGGAATGGTTTCCAACTATCTCTCATTTCATTACTTTCAGAAAAGCTGAGTTGCCACTCACTTTTGCTGAATTATCTTTTTGGTTTATTTTCAATTGGAAGTCAGTAGACAAAGATGGCTGAATTTTGCTTGTTTTAAAAATTTCTAGTTCTAGAGCTCAGGAATTCTAAAGGCATAATATATACGCAACTGATCATTGTTTTGATTCTGCCTGTGTAAGGCCTATGAGACAGATGATGATGGAGAAGGTAATATACCCTGATTCTATAACATTATCATCTTATCTTTGGTAAAACTAAAATAATCAAGCCATTGGACCATTTTCTTCAATCAATATTAACATGCATGTTGATCTCCCAAAATATTTATTTGTATGATAGCATGCCCAATGCTGGGGCTCTTCCCTTTAAAGTGAATTGTTTGAGACAAGCACTCAACAAACCCATCATAAAACTGGATTAGCTTCTGTGATGTAAATGGTGAGTTTTGCTGGAACTGTGTTAGTGCCTCATTTAAAGCATGAATAAATCTGCTTTGTTCCTTGTTTCACATTTTGTTTTACACTGAATACTTGGATTCAAACAAGATCCAAATGCATTCTAATGTTATGATGAGTTCCCATCTTTCATTTCTATAGATCAGCTAGAATATTATAAGTACTAAGTTTCATGTTCTTAATATACATGCTTTTTAAAAATGTTATGGGCAATAGAATATTTATTTGATCTGAAGTGAAACCGGAGTATGAATACTCAGAGAAAAAGTAGAAGAAAGAACAGTAGAATGTAAAACTTCATACCAATTTCAATGTACAGGCATCTAAAAAGATGGCCATAACATACGTGGTTCATTGGAAGGATCGATAATGAAGCTCAAGCTCAGATACTTTGGTCACCTAATGCGAAGAGAGATCTCTTT